ACTTGCGTTGAAAGCGAAGACTGTTCTCAGACTTGAGAGAAGAGACTCAGCCAATAATTTTCATGTGACTTTAAATAAATTACTAACTTCCTTAGTCCCCAGACCTATCTGTGAAATGGAAATAATAATAATACCCACCTCACAGGTAGTTCTTTGAAGATGCAGTAAAATTGTTTGTCAAGCATTTGGTAGTGTCTCACCGAGAGCTAGTGATGTCAGCGCTATAGCTAATCTTTTCCTTCAAGGTTTGCGTTGCAGAGGCTGCTGCAAATAAAGTTACCAAGCCCCATCTTGTTCGGCTTGGCTGGCATTATCCATCATTTTGTCCTGCTTTGAGTATTGCGCGGATAGGTGAGAAAACAGACCAAAACCTGCTGACTGCAATTGGGCTTGGCAGGGGCGGTGGGAAGGGAGATGAACCTCTCCGTGAGGTGCTACTTTAAATTCTGCACTCCCTTTCCTCAAGCGTTTTGGCAAACCCCAAACCCCTACCCAGTTTCCCCTGTGAGTTGGTCTCAGCCACTGGAGAGTAGCATCGAAGCTTGAAGGCTGATATCAGTACAAATTCTGGTCACCATCCTCAGCTGGGCTCCACAGCAATCATCCTGGAGTCAGTAGTCAGCTTCCAGTTACAGTCCTTACCACTGCTGTTCCATACCAGCACCCATGTACCATGGCTATCATTCTCAGCAAAGAACTCATCTAACTGAGTAAAAAAGCCTAAGTTATTGAGTGTGATCCTAAAAACCTACTCACCCCCACCACAACTACCTGCATCCTCATCTACCCTAGCCTGCCTCCTGCACTCATCTCTGGGAGAAGGGCCCTCTTCCTCCCCAGCTCAATCCTCCCAGCCCCCAGTCCACCCTCTCCTGTCTCACCTGAGAGCTTGCACCTTATCTTCAACTTCTTTTCCAAGAATCCTTCCTCCTCAGATCTTGAACATGCTCAAGTGTCTGCCTTCTTAAAAAAAAAAAAAAATTCTCTCTTGTAAAGCATGCCATACGTTAACATTTCATAAACCTACAATAAATTATAAATCAGACCCAGAGATCATATGAACACAATAGATAACCCTGTCAAGACCCTAATGTATCTAGAAACTTCATATATGTTGTTGAAAGATAAGCTGAGACACATTAAAAATTTTAAGAGTTCAAATCCATTTAATAGGACAGTTCCAAACCAGAATTGGGTAGGAGTGCTCCACCACAGGAGCCAGAGGAAACACTTTTATAGAAAAGAGGCAAAGCAAAGCAAGAATATTATTTGATTGGCTGCAGCTTACTGCGAAAGCCTTGGTGGCTGTTTGTGATTGGCTGTCCTTAGGTTTCAAGTTCATAACCTGAAGGCTGACAGGTTTAGGCCTTGGTTTGCTTACATAGGCTACTAAGGCATGAGAACCACTTCAGTCTAACGGCAAAACAAAATGGCCATTCAACGAACATTTTTTGAGTGACTAATTTGATGAGCAATGTGTTAGACACTAGGGATAAAACTGTGAACAGAACATAGTCCATGTCCTCAAGAAGCTTATGGTCTAATATCTGTATTAGCTTACTGTTTATTTTCTGTGAAAAAGAGATGGAAAACACTTGGGGGGGAAATAATTTTAGATTTTTACCTCATACCAGATGTCAAAATCAATTCCAAATGAATTTTATCTGTGGATACTTTGTGTAAATATCCTTCTCAACACTTTTGTCAGAGCTCATATTTATGATCCTGGCTGGGTCAATTATTGTAATGATGGTGCTATTTATGCCAGGGTTCTTGTCTGCGGAGTCAAAGAATGAACTTAGCAAACACCCAAGATAGGAGAGCCAGGGAGAGGTTTTTATTTAGAAATAAAGTGAGAGGAAAGAGCTCCTGGCTTAGGCCAGGAGGGGACAAGAGAGCTCAGGGTGGTGCATTGTCTAGGGGATTTATAGGCAGTTGAGAATTTGGGGGAATTGAGGGCTTAGGGTTTGGACTTGTACCACCTGCCCTGCCCTCAAGGTGGGCTGGTTTGTTGTCTGTCTGCTAGGGCAGTTTACAGGGAAGTCACGGGTTATGCTGAGTATCCTTGTGGAACACTCAAAACATTCTAGGCCAAGTTGCTCCTGGCCTTTTGACCTTTAACTGATCTCACTAAAGATGTCTGTATTCCTAGCCTAGTATCTTTACCCTAGAGAATTAGTGTGACCTTTACTTTGCATGATGCTGAACACAGAGTTTAGATAGGAACTTTACATAGTTACATTGCTTTGACTGTAAATATCTTGCCTTGCTTTTTCCAGAGGCCCTCACCCTACTCTGTCTAAGTCCATGGTCCCTGTCTCACTATGCTTATCTTCTACATGTATTAATTGCACTTGTGCTGAAAATAAATAGCTTTTCCTTCTCTTTCTTCTTAAGTATTGATTAGTATTGTTGAAGTAATTAAACAAGGAGCCTGTTCAACTAAGATGGCTCTAATTCCTTAGTAGCCTATGTAAGCAAAACAAAGCCTGTAATGCCTAAAGACTATGAATTTTGAAACCTAAGAACAGCCAATCACAAATAACCACCTAGGCATTCCCAAATAAGGCAACTGCTTAAGATGCAGCCAAAGAATTTCTTTTCTTCACCTCTTTACTATAAAAATGTTTCCCCTAGCTCCTGTTAGTGAAGTGCTTTTAACCACTTCAAATTTGGTGATGCCCTATTATTGCTAAAATAATTTGTAATATGTCTCGGTTTATCTTTTAACAGTATCGATAGTCTTACGATTTTTTCACAAGGTGTTATACTTCATTACTGCCACTACTCATTTGACAGTCAAGTTCCTGATTTGCCCAGTGAAAGCGTCTGAGCGCTGGCTCCTGAATCCACTTGACATGCCTCCGTAACTTCCCAATCACTTCCTTACTTTCAGACACAATAAAATATCTTTAACTAGCCTTGCTCCAGGCCTAGAATCAGTCAGTTCTCTAAGGAGCCCTGGTTCCCTTTAGTAGGGAGCACAAAGATGTTTTTAAAAATCATGAAATTCGGTTTCTGGCTAGGAAGTAATGAAAATGGCACTCCCACACTGCGTGGGAAAACGTGAACAGGTCTGTTCCTCCTAGAAAATGATTGATGGATCTAACAAGCACGTGAAAAATGTTTATACTCCTGACCCAACAATATCAATTCTAGCAATCTAACCTAAGGAACTGATTTGAGTGCAAAATAAAGTATCTTTAAATATGTGCATCAGTTATTTATTAAATAAATAAATAGGAAAATGTCTAGCAACACAAATATGAAATACAATCAAATGATGGACAATTATGCAACCATCAAATAGTATGCTTACTAAAACTTTGTAAAGCTCTCTTCCTTACTTCATAGTTGACCTTGAAAAAGGTTTCTTGTCTCCCTTTCCCTACCTCCCATTCACACTTCAATCCCCTACAGTATGGTTTCTAGCAAAATTATTCTGATAGAATTATTCTTCTTCAAGTGCATTCATGTGGTCCTTACTGATACCAAAATTATTTTTAAGCTTTGTTTTCCTTGCCTTCTTTGTAGTAACCCCTCTCTTCAGGAAATTTTCTCTTCCTTTGGCTCCCATCAGGCTCTGCAGAGTCCTCAGCTATCCCCCAGAGAGTCCTTCTCATTCTCTTTTGGGGGCTCCTTTTCCTTCATCTGGGTCTTAGAGATGTTTAAGTTCCACAGAGTTCTTGCAGAGGCAGACTTTCCTTCTCACTGTGCACCTCTAGTGTAACACACTCCATGGTTTCAACTATTATCAATACATGCTTTATTGATTCGCTAGGACTGCCATAACAAAACGCCACAGACTGGGCAGCTTAAAGAACAAAAATTAATTTTCTCACAGTTTGAGAGGCTGGAAGTTCAAGATCAAGGTGCTGATTGGGTGAGTTTCTCCAAGGCCTCACACCTTGGCTGGCAGATGGCCACCCTCTTGCTGCGTCCTTGCTTCTTCCTTCTGTGCACACACATTCTGTGCGTCCAAACTGCCTCTTAAAAGAATTCCAGTCAGACTGGATTAGGGCCCATTCATATGACCTCACTTATTCTTAATTACATGTTTAAAGGTCCTATCTCCCAATACAAACACATTCTGAGGTAATGGGGGCTAAAGCTTTGACATAGAATTTTTGGTAGGGACACAATTTTGTCTATAACAATGCTGAAGATTCTCATATTTCTCTCTCCAGCCCAGACGTTGCATGTGGACAGCAACATACAAGCATACTATTATTCTACAAATGACTATCTAAAATAGACCTTCTCCCCACATGTTTTCAAGAGTAAGAAATATGCAAAAATAATTTATTGCAAGGGACATAATTTTTTAAAAATCTGTTTTCTGAGGCTTCACAAATTTAGTACAGTTTCACTACAACCCAGATAATAATCTCATTATCTTTATCTTCCTATGCAAACAATTGGACTTACTCATAGTGTGTATAGGTACAGCAACTCTAAAGACCTAGTCATAGTCATTGATGGTGGCGAAAATTTACTGTGCATGACTGTTTTAGTAATTGTTCAATCCTCTGCATTTTAGCTGCGCATAGAAACCCCCAAAGTAACCCCACTGTCGCCCGAGTACTCTGCCTTTTGCCAAAGACGCGTTCCAGTCTACACTTCCGGGGCGTGAGAGGAGGGGAAACTCACCCCCTCCCGACCCTAGGTTTTTATAGAGCCCGGGACGCCCCTGGAGGCATGGGTCTCAGAATACGTACTCCTCGCCTGCAGGTGGCATCCGCGTCCTTCCTGCGCGGAGGGCTGCGCCCAATCTAGGGGCCCTGCCCCTTCCTCCCGACCGCGAAAACTGGAAAGACCGCGGCACTAACTTCGGCGCAGGGCCCCTGACCCTGGCCACGCCCACCTCGGTAGACCGGCTCCCGATGATTGGAGGCGAGGCGGAGGCGGGGGCGAAGGCGGGGCCCGGGAGGTGGGCTGAGGGGGCCGGCCCGGAGCGGACAAAAGCCAGGGAGCGAAAAGGCCCCGCCCTCCCGGCCGGTCCCTAGGTTATTGCAGAGACGGTGTGAGAATCCGAAACAGCTGGGTCCGGCTGGGATTGCCGGTGTACGCGCTAGCGAGTCCAAGCGTGAGTGGCTGTGGCGCCTCTGGCTCACCAGCGGCGTGCCTTTCCTCGCAGGTAACCGCTGGCTTCGAGGGGCAAACCTGGCCCCTGGCTTTTGCGGGGAGCGTCTGAATCCGCCCATGACTGGAGTGAGAAAAGAAAAGTTCAGCTCCTGGGTATAGAGGGAGGAATTTAGCGGCGGGTCTCGGTCGCAAGGAAAGGCGGGGAAATCCAGGGGCGTGGGAAAGGGACCTGGGGAAGAAAAGGGTGCCGGATGCCTGGATGTGTAGAAGGCCCGCTCTTGGGCCCGGGGTAGTGAATTTGGGCTGCGGTAAGTTGCATGCAGTGACAAACAGAAGCCCAGGTCTGCACGCAGAAGGAAAATCGAGCGGAGGCAAGCTGCAGGGACAAGTGGAAGACTCGACCGTGGGTTTAAGGGGAGAAAACGTGCGGCGGTGGAAGCCGCGGACTCGGACGTATGCAGCAAACTCAGGTGGTCCGATCAGCTGTGCGGCCAAGTGGATGCGTCCACCTTGGGGCGTGGAGGGGGCAGCGCTCTGGCTGAGTTCCAGGGGTGTTTGCGAGGCCACCCGGAGGCTGTCAGGGGCGGTGGAGACACTGATCTCGAGCTCCGGGGAGGCGTTCCTCGACCTGCTCCGGGTGCTGCCCGGGGTTAAAGGTGCAGGCACCGGTGAAGGAAGGGGCGGGCGTGGAGACCTGGAAAAAGGAGCCGGACTCAGCTTTGATTGTTGCATCTCTCTTGCACAGTGGCCACTGGGACATAGGTAGGCCAGGAGCCTGCTGATCACAGTGTCACTTAAGGGCGTACAAACCCTAAGACCTGCTAACGGACTACGAACCAGGGACGCGCCCACTGACGTACCTACAGTGTGTACCGAGAGATTTGTGCTTATCCTTTATTTAGAAGGTGCTTGCGGTCGTAAACTGCCCTTTGCCCCTCTGGGTACACTCACTCAGCACTGTCCTTTTAAACCAGATAAACTGGGCCGTCCGGCTAATATTAAAAACAGCTAAATCCTCGTGACCGTAGTGTTTTGTACATTGTCTTTCTATTCCTTGTTTTGTTTCGTTTTGTTTTTTAGGAGTTAAACTGCGCTCAGTTGAGTCAGCAAAACTGCGAGGAGGTGGGTGATTAGAAGTTGTAAAAGTAAGACTTACCTGTTTCTCCCCATCTGTACCTTCTTTGCTTGCGGCAGTACTGCATTCACTTGGTCTTGGAGGTAGGCGGAAGTCTGCAAACAGCTGAGTCAGGACTATTTCCAAGAATGAAATTCAGCTGCTTCCTTGTTCCATTCAGTACTTATCTTCTTTGCAGGAGACTGTTTTTTTTAGCCCAGAAATTATTGTAGTTCATGAACTCAGCTGAAAAATAAAATGTGGCTACAAATCTGAGGTTCATGAAAATAAAAATAAACAGGGCGAGCAGCTCTTTTTTCTTAAACTACTCTATGTTAGTCCAGGTTTATTTTCTGGAATTGCGCAAGCATATCAGGAAATTGGAATTCAACTGCTTTCAGACTAAATTAACTGACCGGTGGGTAAAGTCCTTCCTTCTGTAGTTAAGGTATGGATGGAGACAGAAAATCTGAGGGGCAATGGTAGAGAAGTGAATCCAGCAGGGCCTAAAGCCCACCCCATGGAATTCAAGTCTAGAAGAAATAACGTCCTACAATGTAGGAAGCCAGAGTCTATGATAAAGCTCCACTTTAGTAGTTAAAGGTGTAAATTTTAATGCGTAAGTATTTGAGGAAAACCTGAAATGTTTCAGTTACTTATAAGATGTAGAAAGATGACTGCAGAAAAGGTTTGCTTTCAGCCAAGAAGAAAATACCTAAAAAAAAATCACTATTACTCAGTGTTGAAATTTCGAGTATGGTATATTGCCTTCTTTTAACTATATTTGCCATCAAGGAAAAATAGCCAAGTCATAACTCTTGGTTAATGCTGTGTAGGAATACAGTCATGGAAATGTAGTATCAAGACCAATATCAGTTTGCTGCCTCTTTTTTATTTTGTTTTAAATACAAGAACAGAAGTAATAGTGGGATCACCATGACTGACTCATACTTTAAGCTGTACTGTAAATGTTATTTGACATTACAGATGGGAAGTAATTGACTCATCTACACCAGTTTGTCCACTTTTATTCTAATTGAGTTCCAGTAATGGTCTAGGGAACCTCCTAAACACTAATAAGCAGGATTCTAGAATTGCAAATTTGGGAAGTAAAAATGGGCCTGGGGGTTAGGAATATGTCATCACAAGACACTGAGGCTTAGCATCTACATTACATTTTTTTATTTACAGGCCAAATTACTTGAACTCAACATTTCAAGAGATAGTGTTTATAGGCCCCTTAATTTTTTTTAAGTCAATTGTCCTGACTTTTCCAGTTCTTAGCTATTACATAGGAGGATAAAAGCAATTCGCAGTTGTGTTGCTGGAGAAAAAAGGCTTGCATTAGACCCTGATGAAAGGGAGCAGATAACCCGTAGCAGGTTCAGGGCTTTCTCTGCCTCTCAGGGAACATGCCTAGGTTGTGGTCTTTCGTGAAGCCTAATAGTTTCACTTCTTCCAAAGCGTGCACCCCTGCCCTTTCCAGGAGGCAAATTGATTTGTATCTGCTATCCCCACATCCCAGGAAGACATCTTTTCCTGGAACAACTCCATTTCCCGATCCCACCCATTGGCAACTTACCGTTGTCCATGTATACCCAGAAGAAGAGTCCAGGAGGTAGGATACTGAGGAACAGGACCGGGACATGCTTGGGTCCTGGGTGGTAGGTTTTCTATGAGCAGATTTCTCTAGTTAAGAAATCACTTTTGTGTTTAACATGACATTCCCAGTATCTGGCACTGACTCTAGGAAAACAAAGTTGGACTAGGAATTCTTCATCTTCCACTTTTAGGCTTAATTGAGCTTCCTTAAATATGGGTCTCAAGAACTTGCCCTCAAAGATAGTTTTTGTTGTTGTTTTAACCAAAACAGCCTCTTAAAAGAGGGAAAATACTAGCACACAGCATTGTGCTCATCTCAAGGGCCTAGTAAATGAGGAGCTGGACAGAACTCTTCAAATAAAAATGATATTGTGGAAGTCATCTCATTTCATAAGATAAACGAACAGTCAAGAATAATGATGACATTACTTAGAGTATGTTATAGGGTCAGGCATCCCCACCTCTACTCTCTAGCCAGATGGTCTTGGGAAAGCTATTTTTCTTTTATCAGAGTAAAATGGTGTCTTGCCAATAGGTTTCAGCCCCACACAAGTTCGCCATGGATTCAGTGAGACCAAGGAATGACAATGGAACGTTCTTGAGGTGAAAGGGTTTATACCCAACTTTATTCCCACAGTGGCAGGTCAATCACTAGAATCCCATCCACCCAGAGCAAGTCTGCATGCAGCAAGCCAGTGTCTGCCTCTGGGCCTCTCTACCCCTACAGTCATCTCAGTCTCTGTCCTCAGTGCTGCCACCACTCCAGCTTCTGCGCTGCTGTCCTGCAGCCTTGTAGCCAGGCCACTGTGTAGCCCAGAGCACTGGGCGGAGCTCTTTATATAGTCAGTAACAACGTATTACCCACGTGTGTGTAGTACGCAAGCCGACCAGGGCCTGGTGAGAATCTTGGCTGTAGGAACCTTCACTTTATCCACAAATGAGAAAATAATTTCCATTTTACAGAGTTGTTGTGAGAGCTGACTCAGAAACCACATATGAAACAGTGCGCTTTATACAGAGAATGTGGTCAATTCTAATGATAAATGTAATTGTTACTATTAACTTTGTATGCAATTATGCTATTATGAATTGCTTTTACACTGTAATGAAATAAATGACAAGGCATGTGTCTTATCATTCGTTCTTTTTAAAGGTTCATTGACGTCAAAATGTCTCAAAAAATCCATGGTGGTTCTGTGGTAGAGATGCAAGGAGACGAAATGACACGAATCATTTGGGAGTTGGTTAAAGAAAAACTCATTTTTCCCCATGTGGAACTGGACCTGCACAGGTAAATGAAATTACTCTTCTAAGTAGCAAACTCAGAAAGCATAATACAAGTGATATCAGGGTATAACTAGATTTTTTTACCTGGATGTAGCTATATCTTACGAGTAAAGCTTTTGAAGGAGGGGTGCCTAAATATGTGGAAAGGGAAAGGGAAATCATAGAGGTGCATTCTCTGTTAAATAGTAAAGTAAATGTAGTAACGCAGTTTTGCCCTTTCAAGCTCTGTTTTCTATTCACTCTCCTTAACTACTCAGTGGACCTTTTCCCTTTTCATTCCTTGCCTTTATCCTTTTTGTACAATTGTAACACAGAAAACACTCTTAAATAGAACCCCCACCTTTAAGACATTCCCTTCAATCCTTTAGTCCTGAAGATTTGAGCCTTTGCCCTCTTTTGAAAGTGTCTAGAGGCAGGTAAAGTCTCTACAGAATTCTGTCATTTCTTTTTTATAAGGTTGCTCTTTGTATGTTTGAACCTGTTCGAGATAGAATTTGTACAACAGTGAAGTGGCTGAAGACTTGGATGGTAAAATATTGAACAGTGCATTTCAGCCTAAATATTGGCGATGACTGTTGACTCTTTAACAATGCAGGGGTTAAGTGAGCTGATACTCCTACCCCCAGAACCTGCAATGGAAAATCTTTATATAACTTTTGACCCCCCTCAGAAACTTAGCACTAATAGCCTACTGTTGATTTTATGGTGGTAAATGATAAAACAGACTAGTATCTACATGTATTTTTTTGCATTCATGATATACCTAACTTTTTCATAATTATTGGGTATTTTTAGGCTTCATAGTTCATCTACCAAACTATCACAAATATCCAAAAACATTTCTGATACATTCATTGAAAGAAATCCATGTTTAAGTAGACTCTCAGAGTTCAATCCCATGTCATACAAGGGTCAACTATATAAGTGTGTTTGCCTTAACCCAGAATTATTAATCACATTGTATTCTGAGGACCTCTTATTTGCTTGGGTATAGACATTTTACTTACGTGGTGTCATTAGACATCCTTTTTAATTATTCTAAGTCTAAGCTATTGATAATGTCTATATTGCAACCATGAGAAGGTGGAAATACCTGCAGAGATCAAGAAACAGGAAATGAGGCATATAATTCTAAGCTTCATCCAAGTGGGTTAAAGAAGCATTTTACAAGTTTCAGAACTTTATATAGCAATAGGTGAATTTGCAGAGTTCTTGCCAGTATAATGGCTAGAAAGAAGTGTTGAGCCTTTTTAGCCTAGATGCATAAGAAGATTTAAAGGACAGTCATTATGCCCAGAGGAAAAAGAGTCATTGGCAACAGACTAAAGAATTTTTGGAAGCTCAGGCAAGTTTTAATTTTTTCCAAAATTGCATAATTGGTTCTTTTTGAGGGAAGTGAAGCAATTCATTTGTTTTCTGTAGGCTTGACAGTGGTCCTGGCCATTTATTCACTTTTTTCTCATAGAAATGTTGAGAAGTAAAAATTCATTAATTTGCTGGTAGGTTCTTCTGATGAAAAATGGTTCCTACAAACATGAAAACTGCTCACCACACTCCTTGTTTGAGTTAGGGTAAGACATTTGAAGATACTCCACATTTCTTATGCCAAAAGATAAGAGAGTCAGTGGCCTTGTTAGACTTAACGTGAATTATCTAAGGTTAGGGCAGTTTGGAATTTGGAATTATTGTTATTTTGAAATACATTGAGATTGCCACTTTTGGATTTGCATCATGAGTTGTGATATCTAAGCAAAGAAAGATACAAGAACAGAAAAGAGAAATCTGGAGGGTTTCAGTTTTGAAAGCTGAAATACTTTTTTAAAGCCTGTGAGAACAAAAGTAATTGTTACATTACTGTCCTGTTTTTCCTGTTTTTTGAGAAATCATTGCATACTTTAGATAAAGCTTTACAATCATTTTCTATGCTCTGTGGACAACCAGCATTCTTTCCAGCTTGAAATAACTGCAGTAGAGGTGTTGGTGTGTGTTAGGCTATAACTCTCTGGGACATATAAAACTGTTGCTGGATTCCATTACATATCTGTAGGCTTTTTTCCAGAACTGAGAAACTTGCCCAAGAGCCAGGGGAAGGTTCATCATATGACTAATGAGCATTAATGAAGGAGTCCTTAGCATTTTGGCCACTGACTGTCACATCTACAATTTCTACCATTTTAATGTCATAATACAAAAAAGCCTTTAAACCCTCAGACCCCTTAACTTTTTTTTTTGTTTTGTTTCTTTTTTGTTGTTGTTATCATTACTATACACTTAGATGAACAACATTGTGGTTACTAGATTCCCCCCATTAGCAAGTCCCCACCCTTAACTTTTAGAGTAAATATTTACTAAGGGAAAAATAAGGTTGTGCTTAGGCTTACATTTTTATGCTAATTATATGGAAGGCAGTCTGCAAAAGGGTTGTGCCTGAATTGTTACTGCCTCTAGCTGGTGAAGAGCAAGGAAAGGGGCTGAGCATGATGATTTCCATTCAGTTTCCTTCTAGAAGGCTTCCCACAACACAGGGAGGCGTGACTGAGCAGCTGGGCCTCAATGAGTGCTTTTTTAGTTGGCAGCCATCTTCTGTATCTATGGGGGCACTAGTGCTAAAACTGGGCAGATGGAGGTGTATTTGGAGCTAAACTTTCTGCAGGCAGGCTCTGCATGCCACCCCCAAGCATGAAATGGAGCATGGTGATAGAATGGTGGCACACATGCTCAGTCACCTGGAAGTTTACCTAGAAAATTACACTTAACAATTTTTTCCCTCCCAGCTTTGATTTAGGCATAGAGAATCGTGATGCCACTAATGACCAGGTCACCAAGGATGCTGCTGAAGCTATAAAAAAGTACAACGTGGGTGTCAAGTGTGCTACCATCACTCCCGATGAGAAGAGGGTTGAGGAGTTCAAGTTGAAACAAATGTGGAAATCACCAAATGGCACCATCCGAAATATTCTGGGTGGCACTGTCTTCAGGGAAGCAATTATCTGCAAAAATATCCCCCGGCTTGTGAGTGGATGGGTAAAACCCATCATCATAGGTCGTCATGCTTATGGGGATCAGGTTAGTCATGGTGGCATAATTTGATTTTCCACATTCTTTTTTCATGACCTTTGGCCCGCCAGCAGTACTAATTTATATGTTTTACTCTTTTCTTTTGGTATCTACTCCCATAAGTGAAATGCAAAACCAAGAAATACCTATGTATACCTGTATGTTTACATACATTTAGGTATCAGTGAATAAGGACAAACTTCCAGATCAGCACCTGTCTCAACATAAATGATTTTTTTTTCAGACATGTGTTTTTCTTCATCTTTTCATTGGGTTAAACCATATGATAATGCCATTTTTGTATAGATAATTTCCTGTGGTTCAGCCAAATCAGTGATTTTCAACCCTGGCTCTACAATAGGATCCTTTTCCTGATTTTGGGGTGCTTGTTTTGCTTTTTTAAAAAATTTGTTTCCTTGTTTTAATTACAGTATCTGAGCATTTCCCTATACCCGCTGAATCTGAATACCACAGGGGTAGGCATTCTAAAGCTCTCAAGTGATTCTAATATGCAGATAGGGTTGAGAACCGCTAAAGATTATATTTAACATGATCACTTCGTGAATAAAAGGGAAAACTGACTCTGGTAGAAAGCAGTCTCTTTAAACATTCCTTTCCTACTTGAAAAAAGCCTTGTTCTGTACTTTTGTGCAAGTAGGGTCATTGCCAAATTAAACAGAAAAACGGCCAGCTAAATAACATCAAAATCCTGTGTTGAAACTAAGGTTGCAGACTTTCATAAAAAGCAGCTATGACTTGAAAGAGCCTTAAAAACAAGACTCCAAAGGCTAAAACCCAGATCCTTAGAAGCATTGTGGCCAGGGCAGACCATTCTCTGTTGCTGGAGACAGGGTCACTGGGCCAGTCCTGGGGGGTCAGTTCACTTGGTTCTGCTCCATGGCCCAACCTATCCCTTCATCCTGGCCAGTCCTACACAGGTTCCTCCCTGAGGCCCAGGATGGGGGATGTAGACGATAGGGCTCCAAACTCGCTGATCCTGGGAGCTCCATACTAAGTTCTGATGAGTTCCATGGTATCTTTTTGTTCTTTTTCCTTTTATTTTGATATTTTAGAATCAGTCACTTGGAGGAATGGTCAGTCCATTTATTAAAGTTCAGACTGAAAATCTCAAACCTTACAGCGATTCCATCCTGATCATTTAAATGTGCATAAGTCTCTACAAAGCATTTCTGGTGCTTCGGCTTTGGTGCCTCAGTTTCTTCTTTCGAGAAGTGAGCAAAATTTGCCATCCATAGTGAAGAACTTTGTATGTCAGAAGTGTTCTGCATAGAATAGATATTTAATCTTTATTGTTGTTTGACAGCCTTTTTACCAGCTGTCAGTATTAGTCTACACAAACATAAATAAATAGGTATGGCCGGCATCTGTTGGCACCTGACACTGAAAGTATTCTAAG